TCTGGAGGCATGATGAGTGGTTATGTCAGCCTGGCAGAAATTCAGATGTGATCTTTTCCCAATGAGAACTGTAACAAGTCCTGTTGGTGAGAATAATTCAAGCCCTCCCATCTATATTGGCAAAAAGAATGGGAAACTGCACCTGATGTATACAAGGAGAAAAGGACAGCAGTCTTGTTGCAGTTGGGAAAAACTTTAATACTAAAGATTGAGCTACCTTCCTCACCACAGCAGCCTGCACTCTCCCCTGCCTCCTGAGCCCTGTCTCTAATCCATATAGCCAGGTGTTTAATGAGACTGTTGTTTTGTTTTCCTTGATTTTGTGCAGTTTGCAAACCAAGAAGGCCAACACTCCAAAAAAGCTGTTCCTGGATCTGTGGTAAGATTTTATGTGACATTTTCTATTTCATGAAGTCATCCAAATATTACAGTCAATTAACCAAGGAAGAAAGGCGAGGAATGTCACGGTCTCTTGGGAATAAGCCCCTGGAGGTCAAACAGTCTGCAAACAAATAGGAAGTTTCTCAAAACAATCCTATGTGTAGCTATTCAGAAGTGGGACTCACTGAATCCAATATGGCTTAATGTTAGGGTGAGTAAATGTATGACCCCATCCTCAGTCACATTAAGCTGAACATGTCCTATGGAACCTGACCTCCAAAAAAGAGGATTCTTATCCTGTGCCTTCTTCCTGCCACTCTGGATTATAAAAGGTGCACTGTCTTTATTTATTTTCACTTTCTGCTGGATGGAGAGGATTCCTCCTAATGCCATTATTAAAATGTTTCACCTGGAAACTCTTTCCCTTCAAATGGCATGTGTTCATGACCTTGAACTATATCCACAACCCAAAGCACCACAGTCAGCCTAGAAAGTTACTTTTAAGAGGAACGAGTGTTATGATATACAGTACTGAAGCTATCTATAACTCAATGGCAGGCTGAAGCTTTTGAGCACAGAGCACCATCCTACCAAAGTCATGCATTATTTTGATTAATGAAAGACAACCAGGAACAAATTAAGATCCAATTCATCAGTAATAATCAAGCACCCTGGACAGAAAGCTACTAAAAATGGAAGTTGCAAGAATGTTTTTTAAACATTAAACATAAAGAACAAAAAGTAAACAAAATTTAAAATAAAGAAGCTGCAAGAAGTTGCTAATGAATAGCACAAAAGCTCTGAAAAAAACTCATTCACAGTTTGTCAGTCCACACTGGACAGATTTCTGCATTAAGCACATTTTGAGTGGGAAATGAATCACTACAAGTCAATTCTGAATAAGGATGGGAAGACAACATGGAAATATTGGATTAGAGTAGGCTGGCAACAGAATCATCTGCATTCCCTAAAAGTGAATAAACAATTCCAGAGCATATGGCTAATTTGGAAGCAAGTATAATCTCCCTCTGTCAAGGAAGATTTTGTTTTCTTTTTACACTGTAATATATAAGAAATTAAAAATCCAGTCTCTCTATGTAGAAACTTAACCTTGCTAGCAAGGCACTATACTTAATGGTGTCCCTCCACCAGAAGTCATGACTGTTGAATTCCCCTTCTGCCTGCGATCTGCATAGACCCAGATCTAGTCAGTAAGGCTGGGGAATCTCATGAATGGATTTTGGGGTATACGGAGGCTTTAAAGAGAAGGTCAAGGGGAAAAAACACTGGCTTTCTGAGGCAAAGTAATTGAACTGTAGTACTGCAGTCAAGACTCTGCTCATGATTCAAATTCAATCCTGATGGGTCCAGGTAGCCAGCTCAGGCGATCTTCATCCTTCCATCCTTTTGAGGTCAGTAAATTGAGTATCCAGCATGTCAGGGGAGGGGCAATGTGTAGCCTGCATAATTGAATTGTAAATCACCCAGAGAGTGCTTTAAGAGCTATGGGGTGGTATATAAGCAGTACACTTTTGTATGACTGGATTCAAATCCCCACTTTGCCATGGAAACTCAAACTGGTCAAACCACTCCTTAAATATGTCACTTATCTTGAAAGCCCTATTAGGGTTGCTATAAATCAGTTCCGACTTGACAGCTCAGAACCTACACATACATGCAACAATGAAATGGAAGAAAGAAGAAAAGAAACATACTATCTATTATGTTTCTTATACAGTATTTATTATGTTGAACAGAGAATATAGACAGAGGGGGATCAGGATCAGGATGGGCTCCAGAGACAGCAGGTTGTCTGGAGCCCCAAAATACCCAATTTACACATGATATTTGCATATGCACACACAGCAAAGAAAATCTGTTTTATATACTGTACTGAAGTACTGCAAGACAAATTTACTACATAATATGGATCTTATTGGAAATAATCTGTGCTTTCCTGAAATAGAAGCTCTATAATACCTCACTCATGGTAGAAAATTCAAGTAGAACTGTGGGTACTTTTATCCTTTATTGTTTGTCTCCCACCCATTGCTTACATTGTCTTTTTTGGCACATAGCATACAGATACAGGAAACTCAAACAGAAATAGAAATTATCTCAGAAACACAGAGATAAATAGAGAGATAGACCCACACACCCGCTGTGCAGAGAGACAAACCCTCTGAACATTCAGAGATGGAGCTACAGAGCCTACTACCTATGCATTAATACAGCCACATAGACCACTGGTCCACCTCCAAGACAACCACTTTGGCTTGCTGAAAAAAAATTATTTGCAAATAACTTTATTACATTATTAGATTAGATTTATTACACATCCACACAAAACAAGCCTGTCTTATTTAAATACAACTTGGATGTCAAGTATAGAATGTTGTATTACTCTGTTGAATAACACACTTTCATATATGAAGATGATTTCTTATATATTTGATGCATATTTAAAGACAGTAATGAACTGGATATCCAATGTTTACATAGCTGGAAATCTCATCTGTAATCCCATAGCCACTTAACTCAGTTGCCAGGAGTAAACTCTACAAACCCAGTGAGAGTCACTTATTTCTAAGTAGAAACATACATGATTAAACTGTTAAATTTGTTTAATTTAATCAAATTAAGTTTGAATTTTCATCCATACATCAAAGCCAGAGGGAATTTTGGTTCCAGTTTTTGGATGAAATTAATTCAGCCATTTCCCATGTGATGTAATGATAACTGTGATGGAACTCTGGTTATCCTGAGATAACAAACTTCCTCAGAGGTTGGTTTATATTAGTGATCCCTGCCTCCTAGTTGTAGGCAATACAAACATATATATGTAGGAACCAACGTACTGCATCCCTAAATGGCCATCTATGACAAAAGAATCCCGTTATGTTGAATGTGCAGGGTTGCACCAGCCTGAGGTACGGCCCTCAGCGCCCAGCACTTATGAAACAACATGCCTACAACGTGTTGGTTTTCAAACTTTGCATGTGTTATGGGGAGGTGGAACCTGAACAGACTATGCATAATCTCAAAAGCCTACAATTTAAACATGGGGACTTTGTCCACTGTACGTAAGGGATTAAGTCCAGTGGGTGCAAACGGGTGAAATTCCTTTTTTAGGGTATGCTGTGAAAATCCTTAATTTCCACTTTCCAGGTGTTTGCTATGCCACCAATATCACAAACAACTGGAAAGTGTAATTCAGAATTTTCATACATCTTCAAAGAAAATCGTCATACGTGCAACTCTCTTGAACTCATCTCGAATAAATGAGTGCGGTGAAAGAGACGGCATTTTCTAACTTCGTCAGGTACAAAATATGCGCAGCCGTCCTAACTATAACCCTGACGGGCTCCCCCTGCGCGGACGGAGCGTACCAGCGGGCATTTGACCTAATGTCTAAACGAGTTTCCACAGGCATGCAAAGTTGGCTTCGGTTGCAACCAGATGTGTCCATCCTGTCCACGTGTATACCCGTTCACACATTATGCCAAATCGAAATTAAGAGTAGGCGAGGGTCCCCCAGTTCACCCTCTACACATGTTCCGGGAACACGTCTGAAACTCCAGTCGGACGGTCGATGCCCAAGGGGACCCTCCTTCCTTCCCCGAAGAAGCTCTCCCATGGGGAGCGCGAAGGAGCTTTTTAAAGCGTCTCCAGGAGACGGCCGCCCACCGAGCTCCCCGCAAAAGGCGGCGGAGAAGCGCGGGGCGACCGGGGTCGAGACAAGGAGGGGACGGGCGGGGCTCCGGGCGCCGAGGTCCCGCCTCCGCTGTCCAGAGGCTGGAGAGGTGTCCGTCGTCTCCGTTGCCATAGCGCCCGGGGAAGTTTCCTTTCCCGACTCCCCGGGCCTTGAGCTTACCCTTGAGGAATTCAATTGCATCATCGCCTCCGACGCGCTCCGTTGCCAGGGCAACGCCGGGCTCTGAGGAAGAGGCTTTTATATAAACCTTGCCACCCACCCGCCAAATATATATATATATATCGCGGCCAGCGGGAAGCGGCCGCGGCAGAGCTTGTAGCGAATGGCTTACACGCCGCCCCGTCTCAGTCGGGAAGAGAAGAGGGGGGGAAAGCAGCGAGAAACCCCCGGGCACTCCTTCTGGCCCGAGTCCCGGACCGCAGGCTGGCCATGCGGTCCCCGGGCTCGCAGCTGCCCACGCGTCGCCCCCTCCTCGCCACTCGTGGTCACGGCCCTGGAAGGCAACATGGCCACGAGGCTGCACGAAGTTTGCTCCACCTTTTTCCCGCCCACCCTCGGCTCGCCCCGCTGCTTAAAACTTTTGTGCTGGCGGCTCCCAAATCTGTCCGGGGCCGAGAGTCCACAGGCTCCGCGAGCGCTCGTGTCTGGCGCGGGCCCGCCGGGTCGGGAAAGACGAGCAGCTCCCGCCACTGGGATAGTGAGGGTTGGCACGAGGGCGCTTCACCTGTGGAATGCCTGCCACGCCGCCCTTAAAAAGCGCAGGGGCTGGGTGGGGCCGGT